TGTTAAAAATACTGTTGTATCTTGTAATTTAAGGGTGAAGGTAGAAAAATATAAACAAAAACACTCTGAGTAACGGAATGTCCTATAGAAACAATCAAGTATTCTTAAAGATAAGTAACACCATCAATAGCCCATAGCCTTTTGGAAATACATATTTTTGTTTAGTTCCAACATGTTGTGATTTCTGTCATAACACGATGCACAAAGCAATGGTGTGATGTTGTTCATACCAACCAATCAGGAAGCAGCTGCTATCACATGAGTGTAGCTGGTGTAATGAAAGCTGGTCTCTGTTTGGCAGGTTTGGCTAACTCAACATTGTTTTGCACCGTGCCATTTACTAAAATATATTGTTTTAGGAGGTGAGAGGTATTTTTACAGACTTTTTAATGGCAAGATAATACTAGGAGCCTCTTACAAATATTTGCTTGTAAGTGAACTAAAAATACTTTATGCTTCACGGTGATAAGACTTCCGAAGTTGGTGGAGGTAAAAGTGTTTATGTCTGGAAAGAATGGGTTGGTAGCTATCCTCACATTGGTGGATCTTGATATGGACTACTATGAGTTCAAATCAAGAAATTAACATGACCATCCACCCATATGGATGCTGGGAGGCTGATTCTGACATTTCTCCAGGACTCAGTGATAAGGAAAACTACAACAGAGAGATCCCACCACCAAAAGTCTTGGGAAATGAATACAAAAATCTACTCTCCAGCATTTACCAAAGGCAGAAAATCATTTTTATGTAGATCATTTAGGCAGTCTGTACTATGAACAGCAAGTCTTAAATTGGACCTGTACATTGATCAATCTGGGCAAATAAGTTCACGTTACTCTATGGATGGTAAGCAAGATACAAATACCTTTCACTCCCATCACCAACACTCTGATGAGAAGAGAAAATATCTGGTACTTGTGTGGGGGTAGGGGAATGTGCACAGTACCAGTAATGGAGTGTGAGGGAAAGGTAAGTATATGTTGTGTAGGCAACACGCGGTGAAGCTATACTTGCCCATACAGTAAAGGACACCTATTATTTTGCCGAGTTTGAACAAAGTAAGGATTCTGATTTACCATTAGAAGGCAAGCCCCAAACTGTCAGAGATTCCCACAGATTTGCCAACTGTCCCAGGTCACTTGCAGTTTTGTAGGATTAGTTCCTGGAAATTATAAAACTAAACAGCTGCATCATTACATTTTTCTTTGTAAAGGTGCCCATACACTTTACAACCCTCGCAAGACTTTAGTCTTGCGAGGGTTGTAAAGTAATTTAAAAAAACGTACGATCTGCCCATCTTGGACAGGCAGATCGTACTTGCGATCATCGCAAGCCCGCCCCCTTGAGGCCCGTTCGTCAGTTGTCGAACAAGCAGGCCACTAACTCGCCGAGAATCGTACGATTCCCAGCGGGTTTTCCAGCCTGCTTGTTCGATGGAAGACGTGCGACCGTACAGTAGAAACGGTCGCACGCCTTCCATACACTGTACGATTCTCGTACGATCGCGGGATTTCCCGCGACTCTCGTACGAGAATCGTACAGTGTATGGGCACCTTTAGATTAATTTAAAGGGAACCTCTCAGGTAAGAAATATGAGAAATGTCATTATTGACTCAACTTTTAATAGCACAGTCTTGCTCATCCTTGCTTCACTACCTGGTAAGTCACTGACCTGGTACAGGTATGCATCAAGTTAGTTAAAACGCCTGACCTCCATACAAGGCAGGAGTAGAAACTTTTATTCTGCTAGGCAAATGCAACCAACTTGCCCTTTTAAGGTAGAGGTGCTTTTCTGTGTGCCACGATGAACCATTGGTGGCCATTAAAGATGCACTGATACTGATTTTTTGGTATAGAGTACGAGTACCGATATTTTTTTCCGGTACTCACTGATGCCAAATACCAATACCGGAAGTCCGGTTAAGGAAGCTGGGCGGGGTGTAATGACTCACTGCCCGCTTCCTGATTAGCCAGGAAGCGGGCTCCATGCTCCCTCATCACCAAGTCTATGCGAGCAAGCATGGAACCGGCTTTCTGGCCAATCAGGAAGCCAGGGGGCAGGTAATGACTCGCTGCCTGGCTTCGTGATTGGCCGGCTTCCCGACTAATCAGGAAGCTGGCCAGCGAGTCATTACACGTGACAAGAGAGCAAGGAGCCGGCTTCCCAGCCAATCAGGAATCTGGGGGGGCTAGTCATCATCCACCCCCCCCGGCTTTCTGATTGGCTGGGAAGCCAGCTCCATGCTCCCTGGTGACAAGGGAGCATGGAGCCGGCTTCCTGGTCAATCAGGAAGCCGGGCAGCGTATAATGACTATCTGGCTGTGCTGAAGATTTATAAACCGGCCCCTACAGTTTTGTATTCTTCTAGCATTATGTTCTTTTGTAGATCTCTGCAAGGGAGGACAATAGAAGACTCCCCTCTTTCAGACAAGTGGTAATGGGTAACAGATAGCTGTATATGGCCCAGTAGGTGTCACTGACTATGGGTCCCAATCTGATTTAGGTCTAAATAAGGGTGTCTCTTCACTTAGGTCCACCAGTCCAACATATATTATTTTTACTGGCCCAGGGGGCCCCCTAGCCCAGTCCTCCCCTGCCACCATACTGAACAAGTCAGCGACTAAATAAATATTGAAGAAGGGATGAACATGCTAAAGTTTGCAACTTTCATATTTCTATCTAGACAAGTTCCCTTTAAGATCTTTCATGGTTCAGTCAGAGAAATGGCCAGAAGGGTTCTATATTACAGTGTAATCAGTATCATTGTTGAGTATATTATGATTTGTGATCTGTAAAGACAGTGCGGTATACTGGAAAGCTCACATATTCTGGATGAGCATCACAGCGCCTCTGGAAGTTCTTTTTAAATCATCGGCAACTACGCTCAACTTTTTGAAAGAACATAAACTGAGTTTATCTATTGACGCAGTCACCCGGCCGTATACAAACTTCAGAAATGTAACCAGACTTTCAATAAAACGAGACTGGATGACTGTGTGACACTGTATGATATATAGCATCAATTTTATAGAGACGATAACAGACAGTGTCCTCTACCCGCTCATCTGTGCTCTATTTCTAGTGACTAGTGGCAGACATAAATCATAAGTATGGGTACGTTTCAGGTCAGAAACCTGTTTTCGAGAAGCCACACTACATGGGCAGTCGTGGTGAACAATGTTGACAAAAATAATAACAAAAAATAGACAAAGAATTATCAAATAAAGCAATACAAAGGGCAACAATGTTATATAAAGTCACAGATCATCCAATCACGTTGGAGATTTCTGATTGGTTTCTATGGGTTGATGCACTTTACACTCCTTGCAGTCTGTGCTCTTCACGCTGTACTTCAATAAGTATTCTGTATAAATCCAGCAACATTTGGGGACTTTGTAGGCTACTGTTCAGGATATGCCATATATATTTACTGAAGTCCAACGTGAAGAGCGTGAATTTGTTAGAGCACGGATATTATTGGTTGCAAATGGGCCATGTTTGCACTTTACTTCTGCGGCGTTCTTCCTGTTCTTGCTAAAGTGATTATAGAATAATGAATGCTTTTGATACCTCATCATTGCTATTAATGCCAACTGCGTTTTACTGTGCTTTTTAGGCAATTCTATGGCTGGTTACAAAAGCACAGACCCCGGTAGCCATTCAAAATCAGCTTTCCAAGGTCGTTCTAGGCTGCTGAAAGCTGGATTATGATTGGGTGCTGCGGGATGTCGTACATCACTCTTGTCTGTGCTGTGCTGTTCTGCGTAACAGAACCATTTGTGTTGAAACCATCTGTATTACCCAATCATATTTTAATAGATTTATTTGACGCAGAGCTCGCTCGCAGAGGTCCGGATTTTATGAGTTTTCAGTACAAGAAAATTCAGCACTTCTACAAACCTAATATGAACTGATGGGGCTTGTTCACACTGGTTCCATCTAAAATGCACCTGTATTGGTTTGCTTTAGATAAATGGGCAAAGCACAGGTTCACTTTAGGCCGGAATAAAGGAAAAATACTGCAGCTGCCAAACCACTTTTAGAAATGCAAGCTTCCTTCCAATATGTTGAGGCCTTGTCTTTGCTACTGCATTTTCCTGTACTGAAAACCAGCTTTGAATATGCTTTGGGGATCTCCCAGCTTTAGTTTCCCAGTACTGTCCCTGGAGCACTTGGGTCTTACATTTTGCCAAGGGAGTCACATAGCTATTCATCCAGTGAAACTGCATGTACATTCATTCTGTGCGAGTTAACCAGCTGTTGTGAGAATGGAGCAAGATCGAATGTTCTTAAGGCTATTTTCTCTTCTTGGTGAATGTTCTTCAAATATTATGAATCCGGAAAGTACTGCCTTGTGCCAAATAGATGGCACTGAGGATCATAGGAAATAAATACATGGTAATAACAAGAGATACAATGTAACAATTCTAGAGAATCTGGAGGGAAGTAGCAGATAAATGTAACCATTGCTGCTATGGTGATCGTGTGTTACTACTGCCAAAAATATTTGAAGAACATTGGACCAGAAGGGCATATAGCCCAACAACATTTTATTTTGCCCCATTCTCACAACGGTTGGTTAATTTACACTGAACTGATATGCATTCAGTTTCTCTGGATATATAGCTATGCACATTTTTTATAAATAGACCCCTTAATCTTCCTGTTGCAATTTTGAAACATTTGTGACTCTCTTATAAAGGCCACAGTAGGTAACTCGAGCTGGGAATTCAGAGGTTATCCTTTTTTCCATAAGAATCCCTAAGGAGCACCTGCAGCCCTCATCATCATCTAAAACCATAACATAACATAAGCCGGTCATCATTATTTTTTTCCTTCCATAGCTAGGAAAGCAGTGAGTATGGCATATTGGCGTTCCTGAATTTTGTCTTTCAGATAATGTGGCTTTTTCCCCAAAACTCCCTCCAGACGTTTCCAGAGCAAATAAAAATGATTTGAAGAAAGAGTTCCGGAGTAACAAATTATTCCAGGATGTCATGAGGATTCTCGATGTAATAAATCCACGGGTTATTCCTGTGTGGTCTGTGTGGATGTTTTCACTGGTGAGATTTAATACACTGGTATGCTGCAATGCTCCTAGGTGTCCCATTAACCCCTTGCTGCCAAGGGAGCTAAAAGTACATTGCTCTGCAATGTTTTTCCAGGCTCCGGCAGCAGCGAAAGGAGCCAATTCTAAGCTCAGAAGGCGGAGCCTGTGATAGCGTTGAGCTGCTTCATCAAACCCTCCAGACTAGCCATTTGTTCACTTAAATCGTCCTGTTCGTATACCTGCGGGGTGAAAAAAAAAATCAGTTAAAAGTGGAATAAATGGTAATATGGAAAGGCCAGCTATCATGGCAGTTCAGTTAATAATGCAGCCACTGCAATGTTATTACCAGATACCATGGTGCACTGGGAACCGCCAAACGCAGGAGGGGTCAGAAGGCAGCATAGTGGCTCGTGGTTCGCACTTCTGCCTTGCAGCACCAGGCTCGCCAGTTTGATTCCAGGATCAGCTAGGACACCATCTGCATGGAGTTTGCATGTTCTCCCTATGCTTGTGTAAGTTTCCTATCACACCCCAAAGACATGCGGGTAGGTTGGCTCCTGTCTAAATTGTTCTTAGTACATGAGATAGGGACCTTAGATTGTAAGAATCCATAGAAAGCCGGCACTCAAAACAGCATCAGTCCAGTAATTTATTCCCAAAAGGTCATAAAAACAGTCAATAACAAAAACTACTGACGCGTTTCAGCCCCAGAACTGAGCCTTAGTGGATGTGGGAAAGTTGAACTGCTCCATTTTCTGTTCATTACTTGTTACCTTAGCTTGTAAGCACTTTGAGGGCAGGGACTGATGTGAATCCCAGAGGTAGCCACCGCACTCTATTTGTAAGGTAAATGCCCGGGTGCACATCCACAAAAACATCAATACAAATCCAATGTAGATCTAGAGGCACTCATGGGACTTGCAGCGCAGAGATAAGCCAAAGCATCAGCATTTTATTATCAATGTTTCAATGGAGTTCAGTCCATCTTTGTCAAGACATTGTGTCTTGAGAAAGGTGGACTACGCTCAATTGAAACGCTCAGGACTACCTTAGTCTGACAATAAGGTTGATTTAATAATCAGTAGAGAATGCTCACTTTGCAAATTCATTTTCAGTTAGCTTAGTGACTGAAGTGGACCTAAGTAAAAATTAACTTTGCAAAGAATATGTAAATATATGCAAGAAAAAAATTATTGCACTTGTCTGGCTCATTAGAGTCAGCACAACTTTACTTCATTCACTAAGATAAGTGCAAAAAAGATATTTAATCCTGCTGCGTGAACCACCGATCACTACTGTTGCTGGAAAGTGTGCCTGGTCCCCAGCTTGGTGTGCAGTGCAGTGTGCAGTGGTTCCTCCTTCCAGCCCCTATGTCAATATAAGACACACAGGGTTATTCACGAAAGGGTGAGGAGTTTGGAGAAGGCAGGAGAAGTGAACAATCTAGGACAACATCAGATAGCTGAACTGGAAAGTGAGCTGAAGTGGAGAATTTTTCCAGTTCAGCTATGTTATCCTAGATTGTTCACTTCTCCTGCCTTCTCCAAACTCTTCACCCTTTTGTGAATAACCCTGACAGTAGCGGTGTAGGAGCTGAGGAACAAAGGAATTGACATGCTCCGTGCAATCTCTCTAATCAATAAAACCGTAACTTTACATTACAGGTTTGCTTTAAATGTGATCAGTAGATTGCATGGTGATGAATAAAAAACAAAGAAAGAAATACAGAATGATACAAATTCAGCATATATAGAAATGTGCTCTTACACTGGCTGGGTCATCTGTATGTTTGTGGCTTTCCTCTGACACTTCTGGGGCTGTTGGAACTGAAACTGGGAGAAGTGGGGATCTTGCTTTCCCTGCCAGCCCCAACGATGCCGTCTTTACTTGTGGCTTAGGTAGGCTTGACACTAGAGAAAAAAAGAAGAGGACATTCCTTGAATTAATATTCCGCATCAATAGAAATGTGTATTATAGTTTTGTTCCTGATAAAATAAGCTTCAGCATGACTGAATCTACCAACAGAAGCACCTTCCAATGTGTGCCACAGCTCATAGTTAGCCAATGTGCCTGAAGATGGACTGTCTGTGCTGCCCAAAGTGGAAAAATATCTAAGCGGCAGGTTTACCGTTAGATTATGGTAAATCCTCCTTAAAGATTTTATTTAGGACAAAGGTTAAGCTTATAAAGAGGTTTAATAACTAAGTGTTAGGGTTGGATTAAGTGTTGGTTTCAAGGATAAATGTTAGGGGTCCATTTGAGGAATCAGTTGATGTTTTAGGGTATGAGTGAGGGGTCACCCAAATGGCAAGGGTAAGGTTCGGTGTCAGATGATGAGGGGGGGGGGGAGGCAATTTAAATTGTTTTTAACACTGAGAGCCTCACTTTAGAACTACCATGTCTGGGTTCAAAACAGCAATGGGCCTTTACAAGAAGAATAGGGACAGCCTATGCTATGCCTTGGAGAAGGCCAACCAGGTTGGGTGGCATGGCCATTGGTAAATGCCACAGTCTCTTCAACGATTGCTGCTGTGAATGTCCCACAATCACTCCATTTGTTCTTGCTTGATTCGTTCGCATGGATTTGCCCTTTAAATTCAACCTACTCTTAGATGCTTTAAACGGTAAAGTTTGTGTTTTCTAACTCAGTCTGCTAATTGACAGTCAATTACTTTAACTTGGTGCTAGTCCCCTTATATAAGGTGTTGATTCTACCACCGATAACTCAGTTCATATAATTGCATCCAGATATGTTACCGCAAAGGAATGGAAATATGACCGTTTAGCATTTTAGATGACAGTCATCTTGCTAATTATGCTTTTACCCTTTCACTGTGAGGCAGAAAATAGTTCTTAATCGCTTTTTAGTTCATCACACCCAGTTATGATGCTGGGTCAACAATCTCGGATGCATGAGATGAATTTTAAAACCAAGGTACAGTGCAAAAGGCTCAATGATTTAAATAACACAACAATGTACAACTGTGTCGTTTCTAAGGTTTCTGGAAGACGCAGAAGTTCGCAAGTCTCTTATTCTTTAGAGATGCAATACAGAAAAACTGCTGGTTATTAACTCTCATCTTCCGGCAAAGTGAAATGTCATCATCTAGAAGAGGCTGAAAGTAAAGGGAATTAATTGAACTTGTGATGCCGATCGTGCGCCAAGAACGCTTGCTCGTCATCCCAAGTAATTACTAGAAGCATGATAGCGAGCAGTGGGAGGTGGAACGGGGAATAAATACATAATGAGATTGTGTTGCCATTTGATCTAAAGACTGTAGGTTGCCAATATATTACATCCAATTCTTGAAGACAATCTCCATCTGCCAATGACTGTGATTACAAACACAGCCAAGGCTCGTGGTTACATATACTGGAGTCAGAAGCGGGAAAAACTTTGTCATTTTAATAGAAAAATTATACCCTTGAAATGTCCACAGTTTTCCCAAATTCTTGCAATCTGGAAAGAGCAAAGCTCATGACGTCCCTTTGCTATACCATCTAAGAGTACCTGTTCATAGAGGTTATTGTACGCACTTTAATGTTCCCTTTCTTATGTTATAGCTCTCAAGCAATCCCTAGATAGCAGCTTTGAAAACTCTTTGTAAAAATCCAATTCAAGTTGCAACTTAATTTTCTTTTTACTGGTGCCCCAAGAAGTGTGAAATAAAGAAACATTGGCTGCATTACTCCTCTCTAGCACTGCCCACCACAGTAAGTCCATTCCATGACTAGATGTCTTCCATTGCTTGGGGTGTATGGCACCCAGCACTCACCTATTTTCCCTCACTTCCTGTCTAGTGAGACCTTTGTCACAGTGACATTTAGGGAACATGGGAATCTCTAATGGAGCACCAGATAGAAGTAAAACTCAGAGATAGTAACATAGTAGGTGAGGTTGAATAAAGACAAAGGTCCCTCCAGGTCAACGTGTGTGTGTGTGTGTGTGTGTGTGTGTGTGTGTGTGTGTGTGTCTATATGGCTCTAACACTTCCCATATCCCTGTACATTTAGTGAAATCAGAAACTCAGCAAGAAGTTTCCGGAATTTATCAATGCTCTCAGTGCAGTCCACCGTCTGTGGAAATGAATCACTGCTTTGTTTGCATTGAGCATTTTAAGTCTTTGTTTTATCCCGGTTTCTGTCAACCACTGGGGTATATCCCACGTACTGTGCAGATTACATGTGTGTCCTTGTTACATGTGGCTAGTAGCTGTGCCCATGACACAGGAAGTACTGCACACAGGAAGCAGGAAGGGGCTACACTAGGGGGAAATACATCGTCACATGAGAAATAATTACAGAAAGCATGTTTGTTACAACAAAAGGCCACTAGATGGCAGCATAGGATAACACATGAATTTAGCTGTGAGAAAATAGTTAGGCAAATCACACTATATAAATTCTAACCTATATAACAATGCTAATATTAACTGAGGCTATGCATCTCATATTCTATGCCCCTGTTGGGGCGGCACAGCTACAATTTTACTACTCTCACAGTAAAAAGAAACAACCCCTACGAATTCTGAGATTGAACCCCCTGTTGTGTCCCCATGTTCTCAATACAGACAGAAGTTCTAATCCTTCCTTGCTCTATCCAAAACTAGTTTTGGCCCTTTAAGGAGTACAAGCTGCAATGTACATTTCTGTGTGCATGGAGCATAAAACAGATGTTATTAGTTTATCTTCTTTCTGTGTTAAATGTAACATCAGGTAAATACCACATTATGGCCACTAGATGGTGCTGAGGATCACAGGAAATAAGTATTTATACCAAGGATCCTCAACTCCATCTAGTGGTAATATTGTGGTACTTTCCTGATGCACTATAATTTATTACATTCAACCTGGAAAGGAAAATATACTATCAGCATTTCTTCTTTGTGCCCCTTCACACAGAACAATTACACAAACAGTTTTGCAGGATGAATGGTTATGCAAATGTTAAAAAAAATGTACCCCTTAGTAATGATTTACGTTACTATCTTACCATACAATCTTTGTACAATCAACTTTAGATGAATCAAAACTATTTTATATGAGGACATACCTAATCCAATCAATATGTGCAAGGTACTGACCAGAAAGCCACCCCGGGCTCATGCGCGCGCCCTGCAAAGTGTTCCTAGCCTTAGGCTTAAGGGCAAATATGCTCATAATAATGGGCACGCGCATATTGGATTCCGTGCACGCAAGCGCTAGCTCGCTGTTACGCACGCAGTGTTACGCACGCAGTGATCCACTATAAAGTGAGTGTGAGTACTGAATCCATTGCTGACTTGTCTCAGCTGTATCCTGTTTCCTGTCTCTTGATCCTGCTGCTTGGCTTGCTGTGTTCTGACCCGGCTTCATCCCTGACTCTGCTTCTGATTACCGACTTGGCACTTCTACCCGACAACTGGCCTCCTTGTGTTCGATACTGGCTTGTGACCCCCGACTACTCTGTGTTTCTCGATTTGGCACCTTATCCTTGCAAGTGTTTCGCTGTGAATGACCCTGGCTTGTGACCTGGACTACGTTCCTGATTCACCTGTGGCATCCACCGTGCTTCCCTGCTTGGACTCTGTGATGTGTCTCTTCAAGTCAGCTCCAGCCCTTTACTTCACGCTACTGCTTAGCCTGTGGCCCAGTCCCTGCCATTACCGTACTGAGATCAACGCACTCAATTCAGAAGCCGTGTTTACCAACGCAGCGGCACTCATGCGTCCCTGAGTCCCCACTCCTCCTGCTATCATCCCCAGGGGAGTTGGACTAGTGGTGCAAGGCTAGCCCTCTGGTTAGCTCAGTCTCCACCCAGGTACGTGACAATATGTATTCAATCATGCATATTAAAGGCCCTACCAATACATAGTTGTTGGTAGATCTGATGGAGACTGTACTGTCAGATTGTACTGTGGTGAGCTTCATTGCCTAACACCTATCTTACGATAATCCTTTACACATCAGTAATTACAATGGAAGCCACTTGGACTCTACAGCAGTGCAGAGTCCAATGAGCAGACTAGAGGCCCGCAGCTTCTAAACAGTACTGCCGCCCTCTAGCAGATTGGCAGAAAGGTGTAAATTTGTAAATACAAGGAAAATAGCTTTTTGCCTACAATCCTGCTTCAACACAATGCATACATTTCAATGAATAGTCCATAGAATCTGTGATTATTTAAATATATATATATTTCTATGTTAAATTGGTAGAATTTACATTAAGGTGAACAGTGAACCTTAAACTCTACAACCACATTGCCCTCGGCCTATGGTCCTCAGACGTTGACAAATAACCCCCTGGAGTCCTGTACATTGCCCCTGTATGCTTTGCTTTAATAATGTCCCCCGTTGTTTCATTAACAAAATGTTCTCGCTGTGCCCACAGCCACATCTTGCATGATAAGCATAATTTGAACAATGCATAGAATTTCCCAAACATTTACATTTCCAGCCCATGCTTGTCTTTGTTTCTGGATGAGCTGTGGTGCCGGCTCGTATTAATCTTGCTGGTGTTAACATGTACCTGCAGCTGTGTAATTATAAATAATGAGGGCCTGACCAAGGCGGCTGTACGGTGCTTCTAGGGAAATAAGGAAACAGAGAGCGGAGGAGGAGATTCCTAATTTGCCAGTTTTTAAAGGACCATATTTAGTTATGTAGTTATTCTAAGGAATGTTCTCAACTGTTTTACAGCAAGGATACCAATTCAAAGGCTGTTTTGGGGAAGTTGGATGGTTACATGATTGGCACTAAGACTGTTACAGAAAAAGTGGGAGCTGAAGAGTCAAATAAGAAAAAAAGTGCTACAAGAGAAGCCTTGCCTCACTCTTGCTTCTCATCAGTTCCTAAGGGGAAGATCTGTGCCTGTCAAGCTTGACCACAGTGGGACATGCAAACTTTCTATAAGCCAATGGCAGACATACTA